AGCCGGAACACAGGAGGTTCCACAAAAATATCTGGAAAAACTTTTTCCCTGTGAGGGTGACGGAGCACTGGCACAGGCTGCCCAGGGAGGTTGTGGAGTCTCCTTCTCTGGAGACTTTCAAAACTCACCTGGACGCGTTCCTGTGTGACCTACTGTAGGTGATCCTGCTCTGGCAGGGGGGCTGGGCTAGATGATCTTTTGAGGGCCCTTCCAGCCCCTAACATTCTGTGATTCTGTGATTCTTTTTGTCTTCAGTAGGCTTTGACTTTGGAAAACAATTTTTTTAGGAGTGTGGAGGCTCAGTGTTCATTTCTCTGTAAGTGAGCCGAGCAAGGCATATTCCCATTTTAGAAATCAGAAGTCACCATGTTGTTTTACTTCCTAATGCTGTGGATTCTTGCACCTTCAGTGTCTTGGAGGCTGTTGTCACATACCAGGAACAGATGCTTAATGTCTAGCCATCACAAATTCTATGCTTATACTTATGTTGCTTGAACATGCAAGCACATTAAGAAGGGAGACATTTAGGAGCGAGGTGGCTGCCTCACCAGGGACCTGGTGCTGCCCTGTGATACTGGTTGAGGGCCTGGGATGACCTCTCAGGATCAGGAGATGAGTTTGCTCCGTTGTGTAGCCCTGCTCTTGGTGCTGTCATGGAGCCAACAGCACAGGAATGTTTATTGGAACTGTTCGTGTGCTGCGTTCCTGGTAACTGCAAGCCCACTGCTGCTGCTGAGGTTGATTTTCTAGTCGCTGTTATCACGTTTCTGCACGGTCTCTTTTCACTGACTTCTGTAGAGCCTGGGTTTCCCCCTGATTATACTTAAGAAGTAAGGGTTTGAGGCCTCAGTTGTAGCCAACGTGATCACTGCTGTGGATTTTGAAAGTGAAATGACGGGTTACAGAAGCTATGTGATTGTTTTTTAAAGACGAGCTTCTGCCTGTAGGAAGCAGTAAAATGTCAGTACGTTGTGTTGTGAACTGCTTCCCGATTGCTTTTCAGTCATAGATGCCCTTAAAAGCAGTTAGCAGTTAGTTAACTGTCTATAGGCTACAGCAGAAAGTGATGAAATGCTTATTGCAGATAACTGTTACAGGCATAACAGGGTGTGATGTTTTCTTTAATACTCTCTTCACATCTGTAAGATGACAGAAAATACTTCTATATGCTTTAACCTCATGTAGAAATAAGACAGATTGCCCTTCTGAACTGTATAAATCTGCAGTATGACTGATGAAAAATAAACCTGCGTGTATATATATTTATCCAATGCCTTTAGCTCTCGTTTTCAAGGTGTTTTAATGATTTTCTTTTTTAGACATTATTTTTCTTCAAGGAACGGAAGTCATATTTAAAGTAGCATTGAGCCTACTCAGCAGTCAAGAAACATCTATAATGGGGTGTGAGAGTTTTGAGAACATTGTTGATTTTCTTAAAACCACTATTCCAGATATGACTCAGCCTCAAATGGAAAAAATTATTACTCAGGTATGGTGGGTTTTCTCCTTACTTTTTCCCCTCCATTTAGTTTACTTTAAAAGAACCATGCCTAAGTTATCTGTAAAAGTCTTCCCAGTATGTTTCTCTTGGTTTGAAATGCAAAGCAGTCATCTTCCCAGTAACTTGTACAGAAATAGGGTATGAGTTAGTTTCAGTGGGTTTTGAACTGCAATTTTAGCAAGACTTTAGTTTCTACCTCAAGTTTTGGTAAAAAGGTTTTTTTGTGTCCCAGCTATTGGGAAAACATGACTTTGCTTATAAAATTTACATCACCATTGGGAGGATAAAAGTAGCATATTTTCCAAATCTAAACCCATTGTTGCTCCCTACTAGAGGGTGAGCAGCCCAACAGTTCGTGACGGGAAGCATAACTTGCCATGGTGGGAAGAGGCAGCATCGCAGTAACTTCTCCTCCTGATCCTTCAAACTTCTGGCTACACAGGGCTGAACACCCTCGTAGGAACTTTCTTGACATCTCCAGCTTAAAATCCTACAAGTTGGGGAGGCCTGGCCCTATTTTCACGATCTGGTTTAAAGTCAAGATCAGCAAACTTTTGCGCTACTGTTGCGTACACAGTTTCTGTCTTCCTGTGGATCAGTTTTAGGGTGCCCTTGTGCAACTTCCCTCTCTCACCTCAACCCTGTCCAGGGAGGGATCACATCTGGAAGGTGCTTGGTGCCAAGGGTAAAAGCCCCTCAAAATTTATCCCTGCCTTTCTTCAGTAAGGGAAAGAAGGACTGGAGTAGTGTTATTTCATCAATATCACTGCCACTTCATGGAAAAGAGCAAGCATAGGAGAGAAAACAAAGAATTACTGATGCTGATACAAGAAAAGCTTCGTGTGAAATACTGTCAGTGGCTGGAATCTCCATCTCACTGCAGTGTCTTCCTCTGAATTGAAGCTGCAAATTGAAAATGAGCCTTAGTCTATAAACATTAACTCTGAACCTATGAGCAGTTTTCTTCCTTCAGTTGCGAGTTTGGAGATAACAGAAGAGCTCCAGAAAACCATCTCAATATACAGGAGTGCAGTTCCTATGGCTTGGTTAAGGCTTGAATGTTTCAGGTGCTGTCAGTTAAGAATTCATTTTCAGACAACATGTAAATCTCCATTTCCTCATTGCACTGATTCTGATTGCCATGCTAAACCTGTGTCAGGCACTTTAGTGCCTATCGTCACATCTCACAGATTCTGGCCATGGTAAAAATGGTAGTGGAACATTTTTGATACTGTTAGAAGTTAAATCTCTGTTCTGTGGTCTGCAGGAGTTGCAGAGCAGTTGTGCTGCGGTGAGAGCATGATAGAAGTGGCTTTGTGCAACGCCAAGTCTGATTGAATAAAGCATGAGTGATGTTGCGTGAGCAGAGGTGGATGTGGTTATAGTCACATCAGCTCTTGAGAGGAAGGTCACCTGCTTGCCTGCGGAGCGGTCTCATGCTGAGCATCCTTCTGGATCTGCGTTCACATGGAGAATGCCTGTGTCACGTTGCTGCTACCTAGGCTGGCTGCAGGCAGAGTTGCTGAGCTGACTCAGCATTGTAATTTCCAGTACTGTCCACTTACTGCAGAGAGGGACCTGGGAGTGCTGGTTGACAGCCGGCTGAACATGAGCCAGCAGTGTGCCCAGGTGGCCCGGAAGGCCAATGGCATCCTGGCTTTTATGAGGAACAGTGTGGCCAGCAGGAGCAGGGATGTGATTCTGCCCCTGTGCTCAGCACTCGTGAGGCCTCCCCTCGAGCCCTGTGTGCAGGTCTGGGCCCCTCACTGCAAGAAAGACCTTGAGGGGCTGGAGCGGGTCCAGAGGAGAGCAATGAGGCTGGGGAAGGGACTGGAGGGAAAGTCCTGTGAGGAGAGGCTGAGGGAGCTGGGGGTGTTTAGCCTGGACAAGAGGAGACTCAGGAGGGACCTCATCACTCTCTTCAACTGCCTGAAGGGATATTGTAGTCAGGTGGGGGTCGGGCTCTTCTCCTGGGCAACCAGTGACAGGATGAGAGGGCACGCCTGAAGCTGGCTCAGGGGAGGTTTAGGTTGGATCTCAGGCAGCCCTTCCTCACGGAGAGGGTGCTCAGGCACTGGGATGCACTGCCCAGGGAAGTGGTG